TTTTTTATTTTAATTTATTTCTTCTGTCAGTTTTCTGGGCTGATGGGTACAAGTTAAAACAAAGCATAGCATTGCAGTCTCTTATCATTTTTTTTAAAGGTCTCCGGGTCCGAATTTGGGCCTAAAATCAATCTTGGAAATAAAGATTATATTCCGTTTTAATTTTCCAAATGAAAAATCAATGTTATTTTATATCAAGTCAGGCCTGGAGTTTGGTTGACATCAAGATTGGTATTGCCAGGCTCATCACTACTATATTAGAGATTTGCAACTTATTTTTATTTTATTTATTTATTATTTATCAACAAGTACAAGGAAAGAAATATGAAAACACATGAAAAAATGGCAAAAATAAATGGATATAAATAAGCAAAACATAGCCATAAACACATAAAAAGAGAACATATAAATGGGTCATTGGGCAGGGATGGTAGGCACTCTGGTGTGCTTACGCACGCCCCCTTAGGGACCTCTTAAGAAACGCGTAAGGTTCACGGTAGACAGCTTGAGGTAAAAGGTATGGGGGTTAGAGGAACTAACAACAGGATCTGATAGGGTTTACTACCACACATTTAGGAAATCGAGATTAGAACGGATTACATTTGTATCCATTTATTATCCAGTATAAATCTTATCTCACTCAATTAGGCAGGCCACAAATCTCTTAAAAAATGATTATACATTTTTGTTACACTAAGATCACACTGTGTCTCTGAGACGTGTGTGTGTGTGAGTGTGTGTGTGTGTGTCCATTTGTGTCTGTGTGTGTGTGTCCCTTTACACAATGTTTCAGGCAAAAATAAAGAATGGTGGGAAGAGCTAAAAGTTATCCCAGTCTTATTTTATACAACATTTTTATAGGTAAAGGTAAAGGTTCCCTCATACATGCATGCTAATATTAAATGGAATCCTATAACACAGGATCCAATTCTGGGAGTTGAAGTCCACAAGTCATGAAGAGGCCATCATTCCCCACCTCTGTTCTAACATGACAACATGCCCATGGACTTCCTTGCATGGTGCCTTCCAAATTCCTTGCCAACCCGACTCTTCCCAATAGGAAGCATTTAAATTAGCACAGCAAAATCTATGTGTAAACAGGTAATAATAAATCAATGATCAACTGAACTCCAAGAATTCTTATCCTGCATAGTTATGCCTGGCTGGATATTTGGGAGTATCATTTTCCAAACAGTGAGTTGACACCTCCTTTATCCTCAGTGATGTAGAAACCAGATCTTTAGATCCAAGCAACTAGAAATTAAAAAGCCACATTTCTTTAAAAAGCCAAGTTTTTTTAATTTTCAAATAAATAAATAAATCCAGGCAGAAACCTGTCTAAAAACCGAATCTTAACATTTCAGCAATAAATCCAATCAAATTCTATTAACAGAATTCACATGCTTATCTGATATTTTATATAGATCTTTCTTCTCTAGAAAGAGCTAATCAGTCAAAAAGCACTTCTGATAAAGGCTTTAATTGTTTAAGTTTCATGGTAAACATTTGCTAAACAGGCAAGTTTCCCTCATTATTTCTGATAATTGAAATCTAATAACTTGAGAAAATGACTTTTACTAGGGATCCCCTCTGCATTGTGGCTTCCTTTATATATTTTTTGTAGAACTGAAAAAAGACTGTTTTGTTTAATGCCCATTTGTTTACAGCATCTTGCCAGTTTTGTTAATTTGAAAAGTTAAGCATGAGACCCAATTATTATTTTGGTGAAAATTCTTAAGAACTGTTCTTGGTAATTAGACTACTGCTTAGAGAGGGCTGCAAAAGCACTATGAGCAGTATATAAGGCTAAGTGCTATTGCTCTATACCAAGTTAGCATAGTGATCTTAAAGATGCTTCATTATTCAGCTATATTTCTCTTTTCTTTTTCTAGGAGATGTTTGACCGTCTGCACATCATCTATACTGTTGGCTATTCTATCTCCCTGGCCTCCCTTGTGATTGCTATGTGTATCCTTTGCTTCTTCAAGTAAGCAGAGAGGCCTGTTATATATTTATATCACTGTTGTGTGCCTATAACATTGACTTTTCCACTGTTGTAAACCAATTTAATCAATGGATTAGAACAAAAACTCAGATGCAAGTCCACTCTGGGTACTGAAGTGGAGAAATCTTAGGTTTCTCTCAGTTAAACTTAAATGACTGTTTTTCAGACTTGAGATCTCAAAGATGTGTGGACTTCACCTCCCAGAATTCTGCACCAGCATGGCTGGCTGGGGAATTCTGGGAATTGAAGTCCATACATCTCCAAATTGCCACGTTTGAGAAACACTAAATATACAAGATAAAGAGAGGGAGATGCTACATCACATATGTCTCCTTGGAAGAAAGACTAAATTAAAAATATAACTAATGGGTACATTGTGTACTGTGTGTTGTGTATTAAAGGCGCCTTCACTGCAATCGGAACTATATCCATCTCCACCTTTTTGCCTCTTTCATCTGCCGAGCTGGGAGCATCTTTGTGAAAGATATAATTTTATATTCTACCTTCCGACCAGAAGGATTGTTGAAAGGACAAGACCATGATTGGGATGCTGAAGAGCTAACCCTCACTTTGGGATCCAGAACCCAGTTGGTAAATTCCATGACAAAAGAATTCTTGGTGACTCTTCCCNTTGATATTCCTTCAAGCAAATTTGTTTGGATCCTGTTTGTTGAATAAACCACAGTAGTTGGGGGTCAAAGAAGCATGCTGAGCTGCACCCTCAAGCCCTGGGAGTGAGGTAGCTTTCAATGGATGGTTCCTAGTAATTAATGGTTAAATTACATTCCCAATAGTATGGTTTAAAAGGACAAGTCCTTATAGGTTCCTTTATTCATAAAGGCAGAAAAACAACAATACACTCTTTCAAGCAATGTCCCCAGGTTGCACAATGATTCCTACAAGTAATTATTCCCAATGGGCAGTAAATTCAAAGTAGCACAATTAATGACAACTCATTGCACAGCACAGGTAGTCCTCAACTTGTGACCGCAACTGAGTCCAAAATTTCTGTAGCTAAGTGAGACATTTGTTTAGTGAATTTTGCCCTATTTTACGAACTTTCTTAACATAGTTATTAAACGAATAACTGCAATTGTTAAATTAATAACACAGTTCTTAAGTGAATCTGGCTTTGTCATTGATTTTGCTTGTTAGAAAGTTGCAAAAGGTGATCACATGACCCTGGGACACTGCAACCATACACGTCAGTTGCCAAGCATCCAAATTTTGATCACAATACCAGGGGGATACTGAAATGGTCATGTGTGAAAACAGTCATAAACCACTTTTTTTAATGCCGCTGTAACTTTGAATGGTCTCTAAGCGACCTGTTGTAAGTCAAGGACTACCTGTATTTGCCATAACAAATTCTGCATTCAGTACATTAGTATCAGCAGTTGTGGTGGTGCATTGACTAGAATGCTGTATTGCAGGCTAATTCTGCTCACTGCCAAAGGTTCGATCCTTACCAGCTCAAGGTTGATTCAGCTTTCCATCTAGGGGTGGGTTCCTGCCAGTTCTAACCTCTTCTATAGAAGAGGTTCCACAAATCTACAGTGCCATTTAGAACCAGTTCCAGCTCCCCACGCCCCGCCCGTCTGCACATCATCAACATGAAGAGCAAGAGGAGGAATTCTGGGAGTTGAAGTCCACAAGTCTTAAAGCTATCAAGTTTGAATACCACTGGGTTTTTTTTTTCTAAAGGGTTAGGGGTGCAAAGGTCTTGTAACTTGACAGTTTTAAGACTTGTGTACTTCAAATGCCAGAGTTTCTGAGCCAACATTTTGGTTACTAGACAAGAGCATTGTTAAGTGAGTTTCACCACATTTTACAAGTTGGCCACACCCACCCAGTCACATGGCTGGCAAGCCACTCCTACAAAGCAGGCCACACCTACAGAAGAGGTTCTAAAAAAATTTGAAACCCACCACTGCTTCCATCCTTCCAATGTCAATAAAATGAGGACACAGATTGTTGGGGGCAATATTCTGACTGACTCTGTAAGCTGTTTGGAGATACTGTACAGCACTGTGAAGCAGTACATAAGTGTAAGGGCTATTGCTATTGCTATCAAATGCTTGGAGTAAACAAAAAAAAAGGCATTAGACACTTTGCATGATTGAATTGAATTGAATTGAATTGAATTTATTGCACTTATATGCCGCCCTTTTCCCCGGATGGGACTCAGGGCGGCTCATAATCCAAGTCAGGGAAGGGGATACAGATAAGGGATAAAAAGACAAACAAAACAATACACAATTTAAAAGCACACAACAACCATACCATTCGAGGGGGGGGCAAAAGCTCTTTAGCCCCAGGCCTGTCGGAACAGCCAGGTTTTAAGGGCTTTGCGGAAGGCCTGGAGGGTGGTGAGGGTTCGAATCTCCACGGGGAGCTCGTTCCAGAGGGTCGGAGCAGCCACAGAGAAGGCTCTCCTCCGGGTAGTCGCCAGCCGGCATTGGCCGGCGGATGGAATTCGGAGGAGGCCTTATCTGTGGGATCTAATCGGTCTATTGGAGGTAATTGGCAGCAGGTGGTCTCTCAAGTACCCAGGTCCAATACCATGAAGGGCTTTATAAGTGACGACTAGCGCCTTGAAGTGTATCCGAAGACCAATAGGCAGCCAGTGCAGCTCGCGGAGGATAGGTGTTATGTGGGTGAACCGAGGTGCACCCATGATCGCTCGCGCGGCTGCATTCTGGACAAGCTGAAGTCTCCAAATGTTCTTCAAGGGCTACCATCTTCTTGGTAGCTGCCTGATACTGAAGACAAAATGTTAGAGGAAGCGGAGTTGGGTTTGATCCAGTAAAACACTTTTAGAATTGAATAACGTTCACTGTATCTATAGGAATAGACAGGATTGCAAGAAACTGAAATATCAGAACCCGAAAGCAGTTACAAACTGTTAGCTGTGCTAGGTTAGCAAAAAGACATATGTGGTATGTTTCTCCATTCCTCCAGGCAGGTTGCAAAGTAGCAGTGACTGTCTTCCTGTATTTCCTGGCTACCAACCACTATTGGATCTTGGTGGAAGGCCTCTACCTCCACAGTTTAATCTTCATGGCTTTCCTGTCCAACAAAAGCTACTTGTGGGCCCTCACCCTCATTGGATGGGGTAAGAACAGTCCAGTTCACAGGTGTTATCCTTAGCTTATCTGTGATTCTGCAAATTGGATTATCAGCTTAATGCAGAGACACTGAAGGATGCGGGTTTATTCCCCACCCTCAATGTGAAAAGGCTTTAAAAGTAATTTCAGCAGCAGAAGCAGCAGGGGGAACCCCAAAAGTCAAAAGGGCTTCCCCAATTGCTCAGTTAAAAGCACTGCTCCTTTTACATGTGTCACAAGGCTTTGATCACAAGGTCATGGTCCTCTTTTCTGACCCCTCCCTTCAGACCCCTTAATTCAGTTGTGCTCTTGGGCCACCAAACTGCCTCTGGTGCCTCTTGCTGCGCTAACGTTGTGAGCTTCCACCCACACAGAATCAGCTGAGGGATATCCTTTCAACTGCACTAGGTATTGTAGCTTCCCCTTTAAGGTGCCTCGAGTTCCCAACTTTTTACTATTTCTTTCACTCTTCAGGAGGAAGAGATAGGTACAGTGTTATTCTGTATTTCCCCCGGTGTCTTGTTAAGATATCACTGGAAACCCAGATCTCTTTCTGCTTGCTTTTCTTTTTCTTCTTCCTTTGAGGGTCACCTGCTGTCTTTGTATCCATCTGGGCCGGTGTAAGAGCATCTCTGGCAGATACACAGTATGTAGCTTCTACTTTGCTTATATCCTCCTCCCCTTGAATATTGGAAGCAAACTACCCTCATCACAGTGGAAGGGAGGGAGTAAGGGTCTAGGAATAGAGATTAAATCTCCAAATCTCAAATGGTACTCAAGATGTACATCCCGGGCATTTTCCTTAGAACCCATCAGGTTTTATGCCACTCCCATTTTTTACACACATGTAGATGCGGTGGCTTAGTGGCTAAGATGCTGAGCTTGTCGATCAAAAGGTCGGCAGTTCAGTGGTTCGAATCCCTAGCGCCACGTAATGGAGTGAGCTCCCATTACTTGTCCCAGTTTCTGCCAACTAGCATTTTGAAAGCTTGTAAAAATGCAAGTAGAAAAATAGGAACCACCTTTGGTGGGAAGGTAACAGAGTTCCGTGCACCTTCGGCATTTAGTCATGTCGGCCACATGCCCACAGAGATGTCTTCATACAGCACTGGCTCTTCGGCTTTGAAATGGAGATGAGCAGCACCTCCTAGAGTCAGGAACGACTAGCACATACAGTATGTGCGAGGGAAATCTTTCCCTTTAGACATGTGTAGATGGATGAGATTTATATAATTGGCATCAATACTGTAAAACAATGCACCAGCTCCCAGGATCATTTCTTCTAAATCCCTGGCGAAGGCTATAGGCTTTTTGAGAAAGTAAACCCAGTGGATATTTCAAAAAGACTACCTGACCAGAAAAAAAAGAGGAGAAAGAACTGTGGATATTAAAAATCATTTTCTGTGATTGTGGAAGAGTTGGGAGAAAGGGTAGATCATATCCTGATCAGTGGTGGATTGCCAATTTTTTTACTACCAATTCGTGCACACTCGTGCACGTGTGCAACACTTCTGCGCATGCGCAAAAGTTCAGGTGGGTGGGCAGAGCCTCCTGCCACTGCTACTACTGGTTCCCCTGTTCTGGGCTGAATCGGGAGCAACCCACCTCTGATCCTAATTAAATAAACTTTTATGGCTGAATGCAAGTCTCTCTCTGTCAGATGCTGGGACCTCAGTGCTGGAAACATGAAATGGATCTACCAGGTCCCAATCTTGGCAGCGATCATGGTAAGAAGGGCAAAGAATGGCTTGGAGTTTGGTAATACATGTTTCCTGTGGCTGAATTACTAATCATATTTATAATGGTTTAAATTAGTTTTAAAATATTACATGGCAACTTTTATAAATATCACTTCCTCTTAGAGTGGTCCATTGGACCTGCATTGTTTGCTAAGGATTAGGTCTTTCTGTAATTTTATTTAGTCCTGATGCTCTTTGGGTTGTAATTTGAAGCTATTTAAAAATGTAGAATTGTTTATTTCATAATTGTTTGAGATGGGAGTTAAATAGCCATCAAAATATATAGATACATAATATATAGGTAGTCCCCAACTTATGACCACAACTGAGGCCAGAATTTGCATTGTTAAACAAGGCAACTGTTAAGCCGCACCCGATCTTCTGACTTTTTTGCCACTGTTGTGCAGTTAACTGCAGTTAAGTAAATCATTCAGTCATTAAGCAAATCAAGTTTGCCCCATTAACTTGGCTTGTTGGAAGTCAGTTGGGAAGATTCCAAATGGTGATCACATGACCCCCGGATGCTACGACCATTGTAAACACCTGAATTTTGACGACATGACTGTGGGGTTGCTACAATAGTTGTAAGTACCAGGAAGGGTTGTAAATCACATTTTTAAATGCCCTTTTAATTTTCAATGGTCACCAAATGAATGATTGTAAGTCAAGGTCTATAAAGCAACTGCATAATTCCACCACAATATAAAATGTCTGTCTGAATGTTTTTGTGTTGCTGGCAGGTGAACTTTTTTCTTTTCCTCAACATTGTGAGAGTCCTGGCATCCAAATTATGGGAAACAAACACAGGGAAATTAGATCCACGACAACAATACAAGTATGTATTAGGTGCAACAGAACTAGATTTTATCTGTTAGCTCTGGAATAAACTATTATTTCAGTTCTTTTAATTGAGAATGTTAATGTCAGTCTTGTTAACATTCTGGAATACAATGGTCACTTCCATTTTCAACTATATTTTCATCACCTTGGATTACTTAACAGCAAAGAGAACTTTTTTTAAAAAAATAGTTTTTATTAAACATTATTACCTTTAAAAACAGAAAGAAAAACACAACAACATAAGAAAAGACA